TATTTGGGGTCCCATTTCCCCTTCCCGCAAGCACATATTTGTGAATCCCTCCACCCTGCCAGTCACAGAATTGGGTCAAACCAGCCCATAAGCCATTGACAGTGACTGAAACCCTAAGCTGGAATGACAAATAACCTTCTGGTCCCTGCCCCTTAGAACCTGGAACCCACAAGGTAAGCTGGCCTTGGAAAGTGCAAGTAGGGCCAAATTGGTGTGGACTACTCACACCACAGGGAAGAATATCAAAAGGAGGAGGAACGGTAACACCACCAGTAACTGGCACATGGCCATCAGAAATTATGATACACACCCCAATTTTCACCACAAAGGGGACCCTTATTATATCTCTCTGACAGATCAGAACCCTCCTTTGGTACCTGAGGTAATTATCCAACCATCAGCCAGAGGATGTGGTATAAAAGGCCTTGACGTGCCCCTGTCCAAGCAGAGACTTATGCAGGCCAGGAATACAGCACGTGGTCTGCCATAGAGGACAGGTCTGCATCTCTTAGCACCCACTGAACGCCTCTTCAGCTCCCCTGAGATGACTGACAGAGGCAGAAGCAGCAGGAGGTGGAGTGTAACTGAAGAGTTACATGACATTGTCTTCTTCAGTGACATTTAACGACGGACTTTTTGGACATCTTTTGCCAAACAAGCCAGAAGGACAGAGAACTGAAAACAGCAGCCTCTTTATGGAAAAAACTGAGCCCATGAACTAATAACACAGTGTCACAGCAAACTGTATCTCTGCTGGGACTGCAATTATGCGCTACACTGTAAAGGACAGTTTGACCCTGATACACTCAATCGCTGGTTCATACCATGAAGGGCTTGAGTGCACGGGAACTGCTGGGTCACAGCCTGAGCCAGGGATGGAACACCTGTTGATGGGGCACAGCCAGCTCTGGAAGCACAGATGGGAGCACCAGTGCTCCCTGAACCTCATGTAAGGGCTGGCTGCTGCAAGGGAAGCATCTCTACTTGGACACTGCCTCCTTTGGAATGTTTCACAAGTCCTGAAACAGGTAAGTGGCTCCTTTGTTACCAGACTGTGACTGCTACCTTTCTTGAGTGATCAGAAACCAGTTTCAAGTGGCATCTGTATTGCCTATCCTTGCAACACAAACCACTGGATTCTTAAAAACTGCACAGTGGTAGTGAAAGTAAAAGGAAGAGAAAGGGAAAGAGAATCTGTAGGAATCCCAGTAGGAATCTGGGAAGTGCAGTGGGATCCAGTTAAGGACTGGAAGGATGGAGAGTTTCTGGGGAAATGGTGAATGGATGTACAGAGTGTGATTTGGGCATTGCTGAAGGCAAATAAAGGGCATGGCATGTGACTGCAGGTAGAGATTTGGGGGCCCTGGTGTAGCTGGGTTCATTGAGGACTAGGAAGGATACGTGGGAGCCAGACAGCAGCTGTGGGAATATCAGGGGTGCCGTTTTGGGTGCCCATGGAACTGATAGATGTGTCCAGGTGAAGGTGCTGATATTGGGCGGGGGGGGGAGCAGCAGTTAGAGGGAAGCTAAGATGTATTCCTGCATCTTCTGTGGTGTGTAAGCAGTGCAACCTGCTGTAGGGAACCTGCTTTGGCAGGGGGGTTGGACACGATGATCCCTGGAGGTCCCTTCCAACCCCTACAATTCTGTGAAGTGCTGGCTCTGTGAAGAAATTAAGAAAAGCACATAGGATTGAGGTGTTAAAGGTAAATGGCATGTTTTCATGCTAAATGCCCCCAGTTGTAATAATTTTCAATGGACTGAGTTTTAAAGAGCCTTTCCCAGCTACACTGAGTGAGAAAGCCAAGCCTGCCCCTTCCCAGCATAGAGTAAGGTGTGTTACAGCTTAGCACAGGGGAAATCTGCTCTGCTTCCCTAACATACTGGCACCTTGTAATTAATATCTTTTAGATATTAATATATCTTTTATTTAGATTCCTGAAAGCTCCAGTTTAAAAAACAACAAACCACCAACAGAAAGCACAAGCAAGGGAAAAACAGAGCACTCGTTTCCTTTCAATATTCACAAATGCTTATCAAAAGCCAAATGGTTATCATAATGCATAACACCTTTCTCCCCAGGTTGATCCACTTCTCTGCAACCCTGAATGTCTTTGCACCCTCCAGGGATGGCGAGGCCTGCATGGATGCTTAATGCCACCTACCAAGAGCTGGTAGTTAAGCAGCATGTTCATTTCCTGAGCACTGCTCAGAAAATCTTGCTCTTAAGTCAACCAGGAAAGCCAAGAGCACTCATGCCACCCAGGCAGGTGGAATGCAGCTATTTGGTTGTTCAAGTCGCTTGGAGGATTTATTTTCTGGCCTCCTATTTGTACATACAACCAAGCCCCGTTTCCTAAACATTTACAAGGAATATTTATGCCACTACAGAAGCTGTCTGGAAATGCTCTACAACCTGCTACTCTCTAGCAACTACCTAGATGCTCCAAAACATTGTGTTCCTCCGTGATGATTCAGTGCCAGAGATGGATTTACATACCAACCCAGTGTCTCATCTGTATGAGTTCAGGCAATAGGACTTTACAGCTTGAAGCACGCTACAATGGAAATACGCAGAACAGAACAGGATGGTATCTCACAGCTGCAAGATGTCGGCTCCAAGCTGCCAACTTCTGCCTCTAATGATCCTTCTGTTACAACAGGGCCAGCTCCATCACAACTTTAAGAGACAGCAATGCAGTCCTCCCCATGTAAACTACAGCTAATCAGCTGGTAACAAATTCCCAGCACTCCCACAGCTGTGTCAAAGTACACAAAAAGGACATCAAGGCATTGCCCTGCAAGTGTCCACTTACACACAGCCTCCCCAGAACAACACAGCAGCAGTCAGCTGCCAGAATAAGAACTGAGGACCAACACAGTCACCCACACAGTCACAACTCAAGAATGTCTTCAGAACAGGCTGTTCATTTGGTGATTAACCTACAGCCCTCCCTTGAAAAAGCACATCTACTCAATGAAGAACAACAAAAATCCACACCCACTTCATTTTTAGAGATGCAGGCAGAAATCACAGTGAGACTGGAGGAAAAAGGCCCTGAGGATCAAAAAATCCAACACTGGGAACAAAGAACAGGTTATTATGCTTGTTAAGTGAAAAAATAAGACACATCTGCCGCATCACAAATTAAAAACCTCACAATAGTAATCAGCAGAGTGAAAGCCAACTCAGGATTATGCCAGGATTGGTTCTATTTCTATTTCAGCTTCTTTTAAGGGTATTACATTAAGATCAGAAAGCACTGTCTGCCACTTTTATACTTCTGCTTGTTTCCAAAATGGAAGAGGCACAACCCCACAACAGCAGCTAGCTGTGCTGCTGTCAAAGCCTTTCCAACACCAGTTAGATGGCTAGGAGGGAGTGATGGCTGTTATGTGAGGGATCTGAAACAACAAGGGCAAAAATAAAATAAAATCAAGGGGCTTTAACCCCACATATGAATAGATGATTTAAGAAACAATTGTTTTGTAGGAACCCTGACTTCAGTACTGCACTGGTCTGGAGGGTCTTTCTATTACCTCATTCTGAGGACCTCGTTGGCAATAATCCACGTTGAATTCTCATTCAAAGCTAAACTGCCTACATTTCAGAAAGGAGGAGGGAATGGAAAGCAGGTTCAGCTTCCAAACAAACAATAACCATCCACATTGCTTCCTAGGAGAAGTATAAAAGCCATAAAGATCCACTCTCCCTCCACTCTGACCCTTTTCCAGGAAACTACTTCCTAAGCTTCTGCTTCACCAACAAAAGAGACGAATACGAAAATCAGATTAGAACAACAGGCAAAAGCTTTGAAGTCCTATCTGATATTAGCACCCACTCACCACTTTCCAAAGAAGAAAGTTTTATGCAGTTGAAATTTATGTCTTGAGATATGCAGCATTTGTTATCTTTTCTCCAAATCTTTGTTCCATTCCTTTCAGCATAAAAACTGACCAAGGGAGTTTAAATCAGATCTTTCCATGAGGCAGAACTTCAAGTACAAACTTGTTGTATTTACCCACTAATACCACAAAAGGGAGAAAAGTTTACTAACAAAAGTTAAGGAGAAGTTGCTGAATGAATTCAAGGATTTTTAGATATCAGATAAAGCAATCACAAGGCATAAAGCCACAAGAAACCAGAACTATCAGTTCCTCAGCTTACACAGATGTTGCTATTGCCCAGAATCAATCCAGCAGCTTCAGGGCTCATGATTTTCCTCAGATAGTTTTGAGGCTTCAAAACTCAGCCTCAATATAACAAAGAGACAAGTGGGTTAGGAATTTGTTTTGTCCCTTAGGTAAATGAATCCTTAAAACACATTTGCTCATTTGTGCCTTTGAGCCCCAATTGGAACAGACAATAAAATTAATCAATGTATTTAAAATGAGAGCTCCAAGCACTCATATAATAATTAACTTCACAAGGAACATGTCCGGCAGCATAATACTAACAGTTCAATCAGTTAGCCTAACCAGCTGGCAGTATTTATCACCTTCAATTATTTAATTCAGTCAGTTAACAGAATGGAAATGCGCTCAAATGACATCTCAAAATGTAATTTCCTCCATTTCACACCTACTGTCAGGCAAACAGCATATATCTTCACTCAGGTCAGAAGGCCAAGTGCTGTTTGCACCTCTTTAGAGAGAGGGAGGGGGACTGATCTGCAGAACACAGACTGCACAGCAGTGTTAAGAGCTGAAGCACAGCACTGGTGGTGTCCCTTGGGCCTTAGGCTTCACGCTCAGAATCTGAGCACTCAGACCATCCTGCTTTGTCATCATCTATTCTCTCTGCTCCCATCTGACCTCCCTTACGCCTTCCCTCCAAAACAGTGATGATCTCAAAGGTTTTCATTATTATCATCATTATTATTTTAATAAGCAAGGAAGTTTTCCAAAGACTTTTGGCCACAAACAATGCAGTGCTTGAGCACAGATTTGCCCAGTGAGTTGCATGTTTCCGTGCTTTCACACAGAAGGCTTTTCCTCACCTGGTGACCATGAAGAGTATACAGAAGTCTTCCTTCGAGCAAGTCCAGAATTTTGAGAGTTGAATCATTGGAAGCAGTAATCAGGTAATTCCCAGAGGGGTGAAAGGACAGACTGTTCACCGCAGCAGAGTGCACTAAGGATGTAAAAGATGCATACAATGATCACCGAGACCAGTTTACATCAGCCCGAGGCAAAAGAAGAAAATAAAGTACATGCACATTCCAATGTCTGTTACAAAGTTTAATAGGAAAACTGTCAAGGGGAAAACATTCCACCAAACTCCTCAAAGCACTGGAGAACAAGGGCAGCATTCAATTCTTGTAAAAACAGCCACTACTTCACTGAAAGGAAAAAGGAAACTTTGCCAATTATTCTGAGATTTAAGACTATAAAAGCTTCCAGTGTAGTCCTATAATGTAACTATATTCACAAGTGAGTTATACAGTTCTGTGACACACAGGGACACCGACATATCTGACCACAGGGGAGCTGCTGTTCTTGTTCCCCAGTAATTCTGGAATAGAATCTATAAGCTTATATATTAATGAAGGCTAAAATTCCTATGAAACACAAACTTCACATTGGTATTGTGCAGGAGTGTTCGTTTGGTTGCTTTTGTTTTTAATTATCATTCTTTATTTACTCCAACTCTAACCAATGCTAGGTTTAGCAAGAACTAGGAAAAAAGAACCAACCAAACTGAAAACGGTCCAATACAAACATTACTTCTTCAGCCATCCAATTCCCTACCACAGAAAAAATTAAAATAACCTGAATGAGCAGACAAACTGTTAGGAGTACCATCTTGTCCAACCCTGGTGCCACTACAATTCTACGACTCCATAAAGCAGTCCTTTTTGAACATGAAACCTGAGAGTCGTTCTGAAGAGAGCTAAGGAAAATGCTCTAGGAAAAAACACTTCTGTATGAGGCAGATGCCTGATGTTGCAGTAATGCAGAACTTCCTTCCCCCAGCCTTTTACAAATTGAACTATTGTGGATATATATGTTTACAAGACATTTCTCCATTGCTTTCTAAACATACGTGATGTACAATAGTAAGACTATGCTTGAAGAGAATTTTTACCAACCAACTGTTCTTAATTACACCAATTGCCCTACGATATTCTATCTTCAAACTATTACTACTGATACAACCCCCTCTCAACACCTCCAAACTAAACCTATGCTCCCTTAGCAGTCTGATGTACATGACAAATCTAAACTGCCTGTTAAAAATGAACAAGTGAAATGCAATTCCAGACACTAGCATCAATTCTTTCACACCTACGTGTGAATGTGAAGAAGGAATCCAAAGAAAATCTCACTCAACTGTGAAGCTGAATGTATATGCTTTTCAAAGTCTCAAACACAGCTAACTCAGCTTGAGTCCTTACAACACAGTTCCTCTTGAGCTGCATGATTGAAAAAACACACCAATAAAAACCATCTAAACACAAGACTGGTAACTTCTCCACAGTTTTTCTCATAGGTGAACACCATCTGCAACAGACAGCTACATCTTCCTCTTGACCCTTATGATGTCAGGCTGGACAAAAAGCGTATGTGGAATTTTAGCTTCTAGAAGAACACTAAATACATATTTCCTTGGAAAATTTTATTCTGAGGAATTTCTAATATCCCTCGGCCCTTCATTGCCTATATTCAGATACAAGCAAGCACATATTATGTCAACAAAAGCAAGTCCTAACTGGAACCAAATAAGAAAGAGATGAAACGAATGACATAACCTTGGAGTTCCAGAGAGTCAATGCAGTATTTCCAGGTTTGTGAAAAAAACTTTTCATCATGGAAAGAAGTAACACAGGCTGTGCCCGTGGAGGCAGTCACAGCTTCTTGCCCAAGCAGCTCGTCTGCCTAAGCTCAGGGAAAGCCGCATCTTTCTTCCGCCACACCAACTCATACCTCCCAAAAAAGCATTCACAACAGCTTCCCCAGAAGCTGGCCAACACAGCAATTTCACACTGTAACCAATATCTGGGGTGCAGCACAAGGTGGCATCTCCCACAGCCGTGCTGCTACAAGCTGACTCTAGCTATCAGAGCCTGAGAAAAATAACTTCCAGTTCAGCAACGGATGTTGCACTCAATCACTGCATTTACAGGTGAGCTGCTGAGCACTGAGTCACTCCACCATGCAGGACTGAATACACAGAAGTAGTGACAAGCAGGCAAAAAAAACCCCAGTAAGCACTTGCCACAGCCACAAGCCCAGAAGCTGGTATCCACCACACAGCTCTGTCTGGAGTGCAGATGTGTCCCAGGAGCTCTTCTGAACCAGCACTGAATAACTAGGTTAAGGCTGTTTGCACAGGCGTGCAACTGAAATGCCCTGCACACACCTTCATACGGGAAAAAAAGCCTGCAGGTAATAAATACTGACCATTTTAACTAGGGGTTGACTTGCTGTACAAAGAGAGTTAGCGCTACCTAGGCAAGTGAGTAAAGCATCTGTTTACTTTTCTGAGCAGCAAATGGGACTGGAGCACCTTTACTTTTCTAAACACACACCATGCAGGAAGTTTTGCAGTTTGCACTCCACATCCAATTTTCCTTTGCAAATGTTATAGTTGGAACAAGGCCTGGCAACAGGAGCAGCACAGCTAAACGACTTACCCCTTCTGGAAAACAACCAGACTTCAACACGTAAGAGTCTGCGGCAGGGCTGCTGAGCCATTAAGTCCTCAGTGCAACCGCGTATTTAAAATGGATTCCCCTGAAATCAGGCAGCTTAAGCACACACAAAGGAAAGAGACTCCCCCTAGTGGGACTGGGCAGGCAGCTCCACCTGGGAAAGCCACAAAACTGAGTCAGGTTTAGCCAGAAGGTGCGTGTGAAACCCCTCGCAGAGCAGAATTCACAAACTCATCTTATGAACGCATCAGTTTGAAGTACTCGCATCGGGGGATGAAGTGACAGCCAACAGCACTTGTACGTTTCTTTGCTTTCACAAGTTTAAGCTCAAAATTTAATTCATTATGAGGACTTGCACAGTAGCTGCTAAAAAAACATTCATAACAGGAAAAGATCTCTTCAACAGAAAGAGCGTCAGCCAAAAATGCTATTTAGTAAGGGTAAGAAACAGGCAAAGTACACAACTCTAAGACAAAAGTAAACCTGGCCGTTGAACCTAAACCACATTACACTCAGACAATTTAACTGCAGTAAGGGGAAAGAAGGAAGGACCATTTTTGAGCCAAAGGATACAATGGCTGGAAAAAAGCACTGCAAGTCTTGTCACTTGAAAAGCTGATAAAGTAGGTTACGGGACAACCTGACATCACTGAAGTCCTTAAACTTGCTGCCTGTGTTAGCAGCAAGACTTCAGAAAGGCACTGCCAAGTTATGGTAAGGTTCACAACAGGAGCAGCACAGCGAAAATGATGCATAAGAAAGATGAATATCAGCATTCAGTGCTGATGATGCAGCTGGTACGATTACAATGATTTGGAACAACAATCCTCAAAAGGCTCTATTCCATGACATTGTTAACTATCAGAACCAGAAGTGATTGTCAGTCAGTAGTAACCACGGGAATAACTAACACACAAATAACCTTGGACGAGGGTTTGAGATGCTCTGACAGTTTAAAATTTGAACAGTTCAAATGCTGTTTGACCTGCATGCAAAGAAAAAAACAACACAGTTGGAAATGTGAGCTTAAACTTAGAAGCCAAGACAAAACATAATCCAGGTGGAGGAATACTGTGTATGCGCACACATTTATGTGTGCATGTGTGTTCATGTATATGTGTACACACGTGTGTGATTTTAACCCAAGAAGAAAACCATCAGTGATGATGATGTCACATTCAGTGCACAACAGTCAGATTATGCGATCAAAATACAAAGAGCAGAACAGCCCACTATACACAGAAAATTACTGAAGGCTTCCAAAATTTGCAGATTGCTCCTTCTTCTCACCAACCTCTTTTTGCACAAATCAGTAACGGTAAAGGAAGAGCAGCCAAATTTAGGCTCAACTAATATGCACAGAACAGTAAAATAAGCTCAAAGAAGCTTGTAGGGATGGGGAAGGTCTGCTATCAGTGCACAGTTCTACCAAATAACAGCACTAATCCATTTGACAAGAATAGGTAGTTTTGAAAGTAAGGGTGAAAAAAAACAACCATTAAATACAGCCTCCTAACTATAAAGCTAGCTACTCCAAGGATAAACGAACTTAAGTTACTCTTTTTGTTTTTAATTTGGTGGCAAATGCCACATCTTTTTTACTGCACATCATTTCCCGAAGTAAACAGAAGCGAAGTGGCACAGCAGGTATCACCAAAGCACACCTGCAACATGGGACAGTTCCAATTTAGGGCTTTTTTTCCCCTCTCCATGGTGAGCAAAGAGAAACTAGAACAAAAGCATTTCTTATCAATAGCCAAGAATTAATCTCTGAGCTAGAACAAAGCAAAGCAGGAGGCTGGTGAGGAAAGGCTTCCCCTTGTGGGCCTAAGCCACAACCTCCCTGCAAAAACAGCAAGACAGACATTCCTGGAACTCCAGACAACCCACACCAAAACACGGACAGGTCAGGTTTTTCAAAGATCTTAACTTGCCTTGATAATGTTGGAGGAGTCTGTTCATCCTAACATCCCACACCTTCACTGTGTTATCTGTACCAGCTGCAGCAATGCACGTACCACTGCCATGAAACTCCACGTGATTTGCAAACCTGCAAATTGCAGTTAAATCCAACTGTTTATATTCAGCTTTGGTTGAGATCAAGAAGTTGGCTTTTCAGGAAAGAAAACTACATCACAATCAGTGAACATTGTGGAAAGGAGGGAATAAATTGAAATTTTATACTGGCAAATTTCTGTTAGGACCAAGCTCATAAACCCAAGCAGATTGCAAGACCATAGGTCAAAATAACTGCCCCCAAAGCTCTTCATCACTGCTGTTAGGAGCTGTAGGTGTTAAGAACCTCCTGAAATGTGATGGATCTGACCACAGAACATTTTGAAATGTAAATGTCTACAGAATATCCGCCCTTTACTAATTTAGCAGTATTTCTAGATCAGTATATACAAAAATGAACACAGACTTTTCCATTATTAGTCTTAAACAATTTTAAAGATAGAAATGAATTGAATTTCTGCCTCAAATCCCATGCTGCTACTCACAAGACAGTGGAGTAGAGACCAGCTTCCTTTCTGGACTTGTCTGCAATCATTTTTCTTCTATTTTTTTTTTTTTAAACACAAAACTACAGTAAAAAATTTTTAGTGAGGAACATCTTGCACAAAATTGGGTAAAATTAATAACCCTTGAGAAGCTGGGAACAGGCCCATCTCAGTACTCCGAGGGCTCATTTTGTATTTCTTGACAAATTAATTTCTGGTGCAGCTAACAGCTTGTATGAAACAAAATCTCCTCAACTGACAACTAAAAAACAAAAACAAAAACAAAAACTTTTTTGAGTAACTCTTTGTCACTCTGAGGATGCAACAAAGCATCCAAAGCATTTCTGCTTTTAGTTCACTTCAACTTAGGACAAGATCAGAGCAATTCTGGATGCTCTTTTTGCATCTTGTTCTCTGGCTGCCTTCTGTAATAGGCACTCATGTTTTCCTAAGAGGTGCAAATTATTTCCAGGGGAGGAATCTCCAGCTGCAGTAATGAAAACAGATGAACATCCATCACATCCCCACTTCAACAATCACAACAGGCCAGTCCTTACACCCTGGCAGTACTTACCCCCCATGCTCACAAAAGGAATGTATACATTCTCTGCTAGTTTTATCCCACAGTTTGACAGTTTTATCATCGCTGGCTGATGCTATTAGTCGTCCATCAGGAGAGAATCTAGGAGAACAGTTATGGCAATTAAAAGTGTATCAAAATTAAAGGTGTCCGGGATCAACTGGCCTCAGCCAGCTTTGTCAGTCTGTAAACACACACTTCATCCTTCAGGAAGCCACACTGACATTAGTTAGACTGAAAATCCAATTGTCAGAAGTTGGGGGAAAAAAAGCAACCTGTAAGCCCTCAAACTATCCCCAACACCAGAAGTGCATTCCATCATCTCCAGGCAAGCTCTGCAGTCTGACTTAAGGTCCCCTGTCCTACTTGTTTTGAATCATGATGGAGAAACAACTTGAGATACATTTGAAACAATTCCTACTTTTGCCACAACTATTCACAACAACGTAATTACTTCCAAGATAACAGCTCTTAGAGGAGAAGCTTCATCATTCTCGTGCATCAAATGAACGTATGTAAAATTTTTAGATGGGAGCTTAATATAAGAGAGATCAACACACAGCTTCAGAGGCAGATATAATACAGGAGCAGGACTTGAGTCTAAGTGAAGAACATTGTGCATGGCAGAGAACACATCTCACCTACTCTGCTGTGGACATCTATAGTATTACAGGTCACCATGCCACCACTGCCACCATGAAAGTATCTACTGAAATTATCACACTTACACAAATCTGCAGCTTTATCCTAAATACATACACACATCACAATTCCTCAGAACTATGACAGAGCACTGAAAACTGTCTTTTTGAGGCAGTAACAAGGAAATGATGATCTCGTAACGGCAGCCCTTTCAGCATTCTGTGCACCTGCTTGTTATCACAGAAAAAGCAAAGATCATCAGCTGAACTCTCTGCATGTGTGAAACGAGTAACACAAAGCACCAAAATGCTTGGAGGTTATTACTGTGTAATTGTAAGTATTCTCCTTAACCAAGTGCTAATGATGAGGCACCTATGGCCCTTTTTGAATAGATGCATGACAAGACTGAAGGCAACAAAGCTGCAAAACCAATTATATTATAATCCTTCTTTTGTCTCTGTTGGTAAATTCAAGATATAGAACTCATGACTGATACAAAGTGAAAGACAGGACTAGGAGGGAAAGATCACTACAGAAATATAAAATGGTTTACACAACTGCTATTTGAGGCCTCTCTCTGCAGGTTAACAACACGTTTCAGACACTGGACACATCTGAATATGAGACCACAATGCTCAGTTTCTACTTTGAAGGATAAACCACCACCAGAGCGCTGTACTTACCTGGCACAACGAACCCAATTTATGTGTTGACTGAGTGAGAACAAAAACTTCTGCCTGTGAACAGTCCACACTTTGATTGTTTTATCATCAGAAGCTGTAACTAAGGACTGGCCATCGCTGGAGAAATGAACGCTTCTCACAGTTGCTGTGTGAGCCTTGAACACAGTAGATTCTCCTTTGCTATATAGAAAGAAAGAACATTTCAGCACTCAGAGCAGCACAGCAAAGACGTATTTTCAGATACTGTAATGAAGCTTCTGTGTGTCTATGAAGTGCTATTAACCATTATTTCTATGGAAATTTATGTTTGACACTAGAGAGAAAACTTTGGCCAAACCCAAACAAACTGTACAGAACACAAAGCTAAATCAAGTTGTTCTACTGCAATACTGCCCCAGAAAGGGGCAAAAATGCTGTTGTTAATTTGTGCAACTATTTAAAACATTTACAGAACCATCAACACAAGAGGAGTGGCTGGGATTCTCTACTGCTAACCAGCTCCTTCACTGCAATGCAGGTAAAAACAGAGGTGTTTCTACAGCTCATCCAGGTAAAGCCAAGAAGGCAACTACCTGACATTCAGTAAGAGTCTCATGCATGCACAATGTATTCTTTACTATCACAAATGCAATGAAAAGAACAGAGACGTGTTTTACTCCCATTCTCCTTAGCAGCCCAGCATTCTGGAAATGTTTCTGAGTCTTCTGGAAAAATGGATTCTGTTGCATATGCTGAGCTCCCCGGCACTACTGATACCGAAAAGCAGAAAATCACACTATGTGCTTCCCAGCAACACACCCACCCTCTTCAGAGAGGTCAAAGCTTCCAAGTTTTATTTAATCCTTAATTGTCAGAAGGCAAAGAATAGTAAAGATTTCTTCTTGGTGAAGTTTTCCTTTTGTACAGAACCAGAGAATGTTCCCAGATCTGGTAAAATTTCACAGCAGAGAAGCAAAATTGTAAAATTCATTAACATGGCTTCCCTCCCCCCTAAAAAACAAGGAAAAATCCACAACCAGGGTAGCATTCAGTTAGTAATATACCCTTCTCAAAAGCAACTACAAGGCCCCAGATTCTTCAGAAACAAAGTCCTGACCAACAAACAGACCAAGCTATGGCTTCTCCCTCCCCTTTAACAATTCTATACAACAAGCAGTAAGCAAACAAGTCACAAATCTGACTCAACCTCAACACCTCGTTTCAGTCATGTCTAAAGAAAACAAGCTAACAAAGAACCCTACATAAACACATATTAAAGCTGCCACACACCAAGATATTTCACAACTGATATGCCAATAATTTGCCTGTCACACTAGCACCTTTCTGACACGACAGCCATAGATGTAGTTTAGTCCCCAGAGATCATCCCTAAATTACTAAGACAGCATCACTAAAGTTCAGTTTTGCCATTACCCCCCTACTCTTTTTATTTATATGACAGCTTCCTAGAAATATAACAAGCTTGTGCAAATCATCCTTCTGTATAGGAGCTGAAATCTCCCATCAGCTGGAACCACTGCATTGCTACAACAAACACGCATAGGAAATTCCTGGAGCGTACTGAAGGTAATGTCCTCTGACCAGTGCTGAGAGAGACAGCTAGGAAAGGCCCTCCTAGGTCTGTTGTTTCAGAACAGGGAAGGCCTTATGGAGACGTGGCTGTAGGTACCTTCTCAGCCACTGCGGTCACAAAATGAAATTCAGAACTTCTGGTGTAATGAGAAGATAGAAGAGTTGCCACCCCAGACTTTAAGGGAACAAACTTCAAGCTGCTAAGGGAGATAGCGGGCAGGGTCCCTTGGAAACTGGCTCTCCAGAAGACTGAGGTGTGCCTGGAGGCCCAGGAGCACACAATCCCACAGTGCCACGAGTCAAGCAAGCAGGGTAGAAGGCTGGCATGGCTGCACAGGTAACTCCTCCCTGAACGCGCACAGGAAAAGAAAATACATCAACTCCAGAAGCACAGTCAGGCTTCACAGGGAGATGATAAAGTGGCGGTTCATATCTGTGGGAAGAACACAAGAAAAGCCAAAGCTCACCTTGGCCAGAGTGTGTTAGAAGAAAAAAACAGCAAAAACCCTTTAATGTACATTAACAGCAAGAGAAAGGAAAACATAGGATTGAAACTTGATGAAGACAGTCACTAACAAGTAAGGCTGAGGAAAAGGCAGAGGCTTTAATGAGTTTCTGTGTCTCTGTTTTTAACACCAGTGATAAAGTGTGGGCTGCCAAAACCTGTGAGTGGCTGGCAGAGCAGTGACTTTCCATCTGTTTCCATCTATACCAAAACTGTATAGGACCAGTGGTACCCAAGTCCATCAGCTCTGGTGGAATTCATTCGACTGGCTGAGGCAGTCAGTGGATGTAGCTGGCACCCTCTCAACAGTTTACCAAAAGCATGGGGAAGCCCCCGTTGTCTGAAAGCTAGCCAACATTATGCATGTCTCAAAAAGCTACAAATAGCATGGAGGGGTCGGACAGCAGACTCAATTATCTTCATAGGTCCTTTCTAGCTCAACTACTCTACGCTATTATTCCTCTCCAGTGTTATAAAAAAGCAAGCAGCACAGCTCTGGAGACATCAGAATGACACTGTGAGTCTCTTCTGTTACTCCAGAATGATGAGTTGCAAGGTTTAAAATTTTATCAAACATAATTAACCTTGTGTCTCTAAATAACATACAGGCTGACATGCCACTGCAATCACTTACTTCAGGAAAGTTTAACTAAGCTGAAGTTAACTGTAATTTAAATTATAATGTGCATATTTTTGTTCTTTTTTACTATGAATTCAATTTTAACTGCATTAAGCTTCTCCCGTATTTATCGTGTAGTCATTACATCATTATGAATCACTGTAATAATTCTGCAGTTAAATGATACACTGAGATTTACACTAGAAGGGGTCATACTTTTGTCAACTGAAAATGACACATCTGCCTCACATATGTAACTTATTCAGAATACAAAGTGAGTTCTAGGAATTTTTACAAGAGTTCAGGCATCAGTTTCAGGTGAGTGCCATGATCACTTCTTGGCCTTTTAATATCTTGGCAGTTTAATTTCTGATACCTCCTCTATGAGAGGACTTTATATTAAGTGGACTGTTGGGCATGGGAGTTGGAGGCAGTACTTGCTCCCTCCACTTTGTGCATCATTCCAGTATGGCAGTCCCTTCATTTTTGTTTTCCCAGCTTGACAGCACAGGCAACCCTCACCCCAACCTACCTCAGCTCCCCAGGTGCTCCAACATAATAGTTTGAGGCTCTGGAAACTGAGGGAGAGGTGAGTGAGGATGCAGTGGGAGGTCCACCCATGAGGCTGTCCAGAGTGAGAAGGTCGACTCCACACCTCAAGAGTGCTTCCACCAAGGACAGTAGGATGACTGCCATAGGTGACTCCATGCTGAGAGGATCAGAGGGCCCTACATGTTGGTGCTGGCCCTATCCTACCTCCAGGGAAGTGTGCTGCCTCCCCAGCACCCAGGTCAGGGTTATTTCTAGGAAACTTCCTTGTCTGGTTCACCCCTCTGTTTGTTATCCATTATTGACAGTTCAGGCTGGCAGTGATGGAGTTGCTGACGGAAGCCTGAGGATTACCAAAAAGAACTTCAGGGGACTGGGGTAGTTAGAGGACAGAGCGGGCATACAGCTTGTATTTTCTTCTATCCCTTCAGTGGCAGGAAGGGATACTGAAAGGACCAGGAAAATCCATCTCCGGTAGCTGAGGGGCTGGCGCAACTGCAGGAATTTGGCAGGTTTTTTTGACCATGAGGTGGTTTGCTTGGCACCTGGCCCGATGGCTGCAGTTGAGTCTCATCTGTCTCAAAGGGGGAAAACAGATTCCAGCACAGGAGCACACAGTGTGGGCTTTAAACTAGGTATGAAGGGGAAAGGGGTTAAAACAAGGCTCACAGAGGGACCTCACTGTTCTCTACAACTCCCTGAAAGGAGGTCGTGGTGAGGTGAGGTCAGCCTCTTCTCTCACGTACCTAATGATGGGACAAATGGGAATGGCTTTGCATTGCACCAGGGGAGATTCAGGTTGGACGTTAGGAAATGCTTCTTCTCCAAAAGAGTGGTCAGGCACTGGAACAGGCTGCCAAGGGAGTGGTGCAGCCACCAAACCTGGGGGTATTCAAGAAGTGTTTAGCTGTTGTAGTGAGGGACATGATTTAGTGGGAAATACTGATGATCTCAGAGGTCTTCTCCAACCTCGGCGATCCTGCGATGACTGGTGAGTGGTTGGAAATGAGGACACAAATTTAACTTAGCTCAGGGGACACAGAGAATAGTAATCTAGCAAACATTATGACAGATTTTTAAAAAGACACTTTCAAAACCTAACAGCTCCATGACATAGGCTGCTTATGATTGAATGTATCAACAACAACAACAAAATTTTAAGTAGGTATTTCATAGTCAGCAACGAAACCTAAATAACTAAAAATGCTTCTGCAGGTTCCTGAAGGTTTAAAATTGGGGGATATTTGTTTTGTTTGTTTTTTAAACCCCTTTTATTTTACTACCACAGATTTCAGGTCTGCTTCACTCCTGGGTTCTAGAAACAATTTATTAACCTTTAATAACATCAGTCAATAAGCTCAGAAGCAAAGGGACCTCAAACACCTCTTTATATACATCTGCCCATTCAAGAAAAAAAGAAAAAAAACAATTCCACAAGAAGCTAAAGGAAAAACTGGGAGGTCCTTTTCTGCATCTCAGCCACAAAAAGCTTTACTTGCAGCAAAATTAAGTTTTGAAGCAGAAGCTCTGCTCTCTCCTGCTTGTGTTCTCATACATCACATGAAATAATGCATAACAGTAAAACAAAAGAAGCTATGAAGATTCTCAGTGACTGCCAAGACCTTGGCAAATGAGTTGAGGTGTGCTATTAACGTTGCCTGGGGTGAAACCAGGGCACAAGGCGGGCACAGCACAGGGCTGACTCCAGTTAATAACTGTGTATTTTAATACTGTAATCTGTGATGATAGCAGGGTGGCAAAATGCTTGGCTACAGCAAATGAGAAGAAGCCCAAATGCAGCAGCCACAGATGCAAAAATAAAGGAAAAGAGCTGCTTACCTTTGGAAGGTTTCATGGAGGCAGGGCTCTCCAGCAAGAGATGCCCTCACCTCCACTGCCAACCCTTAAATGAGGGCTGGGAAGGGATGAATCCTGGCTCCACCCCTTCCAGTCACTCAGCTGCACTGCTTGCACCTGAGCTCCCCTGGGTTGGCCCTGCTTTCCAACCAGGTGCTCAAACACTGCTTCAGGTTGTGACTGAGCATTTCCACTACAGATACATTGGCTAAACACAGTCCTGTAAACAGCAAAAAACATGCAGCCTTGCTTTTCATTTTGATAAAGCAATTTGAGAACAGGTTTCAAGATTGCCTGAAAGAATCATCAATTTTTTTGTGTACCTGTGACTCCATTTTCAGTTGACATAATATACATTATCTGCAAATTTTAAATTGGAATGTATAGGGTTGCCATCAGATATTCATCTGAAAGAGAAATCTGATTATGTCTCTTTACCAGACCTTTGTAAGTTCCATCCTACCAGAGGAAGATGTCCCTGGCTGCACAATCTGCCTTGCTCATGTCATGACTTTTTGGCAGTACGTAAACTTGTGAACAACTGTTTTCAAGGATGAAACACAGAAAGCAAAATCTCATCAAAAATCTCTGCTGAACACCTTGGGAACTCACTAAGAACTGCAACCACTTCCAATGAACCAGACTGATGCATTAGTTCCACTAAAACAAGGTCCAATATCCTGCTAGTTATGGCTTTTGGCTTTTTAATGCTTTAATTAAAAAAAAAAAAAAAAAAAAAAAAATTAAGAGGCTTTGCAGCTTATATACATTAACAATATTAAATACTTTATATGCAGCTCAAGACAATTCCTCTTCACTCAGGACAACCCAGGCAAGCCAACAGGTTGGACAGCCATTCAAAGGAACTAAGCCTTCTACTCAAAAATTGAAATCTTTATGGGAAGAGCAAGTAAAGTACTGAAAATGTAAGTAAATTCTAATTAATCACATGAAAGCTCATAAAAAGCAGTCAATACACAGTCCAAAAATCATCTTTTAGTGCTATGCCATCATTTACAGTCAGTGGAGGAAAGTTACTAGTTTAGATCAAGAAATAAAGATTAGAAATGATCTAATATTGGATGGACTACAGCAGGTTTGAAAGCTACTGACCTTCACCCTGCTGACAGAACAATTATCTCCATCACTATACTCCAGCTGGAGTTTAAGCATCTTGCCTTCGATTGGCAGAGAAGCAAAGGATTGGTTTGCTACAAGAGACTGACAAGGGCAGGGACAAAGGGGCTACATTAGTGACTTCAAGCTTTTTAAGGGGCTTCCATTTCATTTCCAGTGGCATTTCAAGACTGAATTGCCTCTTCTCTGTCTGAGCTGCTGCTGCATGAAACTTTTCTTTCCTCAGTCCCAGACCTGGAGAACTGCTTTCAAGAGGTAAAAATCCCACGCCGGAGTTAAACACAGAAGGAGACACAGAGGGAACAGATACTTACGCACTGGGAACCCATAAGCAGACAGTTTTGTCTCTGGAGCCCGAAGCTACGAGGTGGCCAGAAGGGGAAAACTGGACACACATCACTGCATCTTTGTGGCCCACAAGGCGATAGGCTCTCATCTGAGGTTTCATACTCCAGATCATCAGGCATGAATCCATTGAGCCACTCGCTGTGTTGAAAAGAAAAAAGGCAACTCGTGTTAGTTCTCCTCCAATTAAAATGGAGCTACTTTTCATTCTCCATTTGGCAACACAGCTTCCAACAGCTTCACGCACACTTTTACATTTCACTGATGCGCTGCACGCTCTGTATTTAATTAGCAATTCATAGCCTTGCATTGGCTTGAACAGACATTTCAGCTCCCAAGATAATGCAAGAGCTGCAGAGGAAAAGGCCACAGAATCTGCAAAGCCAAACAAACACACACTAAGGAAATGCATAGAAGTTCTAAACTTACCACTTTTTCAGTGGAAACAGAGGCAGTCTGAGTATCAAGTAGCACCCTGCCAATTAGGCAGAAAAGCCCTGTGGCCTATGACTTAAAGGCAACCCATACACATTTCATCCCCAACACCCAGCTCTTCTCTTGTAGCAAAATGTTGATCACTCCCAGCTCAGGACTTAGGAAAAATCCAAGCTTGCAATAAAATTAGAGCAGTGCTCATTTTGCAATGGGAGGAGTTAGTGGGCTTCATGGCAATCATGAAAAGCCTTAAGGGACTCTGGGTGGAGACAGGGGTCCCTCTACCTATCTATACCCACTCAGCATTCTCATGCCTACTTCTATACTCAACAGTTAGAAGAAAAAAAAGAGGGGAAAAAAAGCAACCACCACAAACTACAATTTGTCTTTATTCCTGGGCTTCTGAAAAAGGGGTGAAATGCATGCTCCAAAGACAAGAAGGGGCTGTAGGGACTCTGCAGGGGACAAATGCTTTACTTATAGTAAGAACAATGTTCGTGCCCCCAGTCAGATGCTGTTCTTCTAAGACCTCCTTCATCAGCAAGAGCAGAAGATCTGCAAATCAGAGGCAGGATTCAGATGTGTGCACATGGCACCCACAGCAAATAAAACTGACCCCATCTTCAAGAAATGCTCTGTTCTTTGCCTTGCTTCCCTTCTGCAGCTCACTGCTGGCTGTAAGGAGAGGCCAGCTCCAACCTGACAAAAGCACATCTCAAATGGAAGCATCTCCATGCTGCTGAAATTTATACAAGCCATTGCTCCTCCCCATATAGGGAGGGAAAACTGTCCCTGACAAGAACACCAGACAAGCAGCTTACATGGAGAAATTTCATTCCAGCCTACAAGTGCCCTCCTCAGTTTCACTGCCAACTCAGCAAACTGAAAATCTATTCATCCCCCTGAAGCCCACCATGCTGCACAAAGTCTGCAACACAGTGCCCCTGGTTATTGGTAAAGAGTAAATATATAATAGCATCAACTTAGCAAAGAGAAAAAACACTAGACAGCAAGTCTCAGAGACTGTGCCAATGAAGACTGCGCCAACGAAGACTGCCTCCTAAAGCACCTCAACACCTAAACTATGGAAAACTTTGTAGATTTTCCACAGGTGAGTACACAGTGTGCACGTCTTTACCTGCCAAGGCGTCTTTCTCTTCCCAAAAGCTACATGGGACATACCTGCACCAAGATCTTAAGATTCCTCCAGGAATAAAGATCAGTTTGACAGTAGGTCCTAATATGGTAGCATCATAATTACGAGAAGATTTCAGTTCATTAGCATTATGGCAAAACAATAAACAGCTGCTGCTAGAAATGTCATTTCACCACCTCTTAAAACAGAAAAATAACAATCTTCTTCTGATGCTGGTTCAGGATATGTTTATTTCATACAGAGTCACTTGCAAAGCAGGTGCTGGTGCACAAGCAATGGGGCAGAAGAGTGCTGAGCTCTGAGTCTGGCAGATGTGCAGACCTTCTTTAGGGGAGGTTCAGGTTGGATATTTGGAGGAATTTCTTCCAAGAGCAGTAATGCATTGGTACAGGCTGCCCAGGGACGTGGTGGGGCCACCGTCCCTGAAGGTGCTGCAGAGCTGTGGAGATGTGGCACTGAGGGCCACGGTCAGCGAGCGGACGGGGATGGGCTCACGGCTGGACTTTACGACCATAGTGGTCTTTTCCAGCCTCAATGGTTCTATGATTACACATGTTCTTGATGGAGAAACACACAAAAACAAACAAAAGCCCACAACTTTGCACATTTGCCTGTTGCTTTTGTATCTCATTCAAGCAATATCTTAAGGTTTTAAAGGGAGACAAGTATACAAAAGCAGATTGAGTACGTGGCTGAGCAGAAAGGGATTTAAACTTTAATCAAAGTTTCACTAAGACATTGTCTGGCCAAAAAAACTATTGTAAATACCTCAGTTTTTACAGGATTGATACAAAAAAAAAAAAAAAAAAAAAAGGAAAATAATGCTCTGACGTGTCATTAGTGTTCTGGTAGGATGCCATTTGGAACTCGTTAGCAGTAATTACCATCCTTACTGGACTAGGCAAGGAATCTAATCGAATAGAAAGATCGAGTCCTTCAGGGTTGGTTCATTTTGGTGTGGAAAAAGAAAGGGTGTGGGAAAAAAAGAACTCTAAGATCTCCTAAGAGTAAAGTACACGTGATTGACTCAATGATGCCTGAATAAGAAACATGCTTAGAACTCATTCCCTTTCTTACACAATCACATTTATTAACATTACCAAGAGTACTTCTCTCAAGGTCCAGTTGGTAAAGGGTAAGTTACATTCAGAGCATCCCAGCTGAGCAGAGATTTGCACTGACCAGATACGACCAGACAATCAAAGATACCAGGAGCAGGATGAAAAAGACAGCAGAAAGCAACACGGACAGCACTGGTCCAATACAGGTTTGATTTTCCTTTCCTTGTGTCTTCCAGAACTACAGTGCTGCAGGTTGTAAGACACAGAACAGGACTATGACAATTTACAACACTTGCTAGACTGCTTTATTTCTGTTTACTCGTGTCTGTGTCCACAGCCCACACAGGCAGTGTGTCTCCAAAGACCGTTTCTGCCTGATCTTCCCTGTGAACCAAACCAACATTCTCACAGACCAAACTACAGCTTCATCAAGAGCCAAAACTTCTGCTGCTTCCTGATCCAAGAATACACAGCAAGTTAACTAACAGCACCTGTGACACAAGCCTTGGTGTAACCACAGGCAAATGCCAAACCAGGAGAAACAGAAGATGGAAGAAGAAAAATACTTATGCAGAGCAGAAAAAAAATAATAAAATACAGTTTTAATTTGTAATTTTTTAATTACTGCACCACAAAGCAAGGTAGCTTTAGGCAGCAGCAGACATTCCTAACGCTCCAACAGGACGCTCACAGCCTGTCACCCTGGTTCAAAAACAGGATGAGAGGCACTGGGAACAAACAGAAAGTTTGCGGATAGGAAGTTGCAAATGAAGACGAGGAAGAACTTCTTCCCAGAGAGGGTGACTCAGCACTGGAACAGGTTGCCCAGAAAGGCTGTGGAATCTCTCCCTGGAGATGCTTAAAAGCCATATGTATACAGTCCTGGGTAACGTGCTCTCAGGAACCCAGCAGTTAGGAGATTGGACCCGACAAACTCCACAGGTCCCTTCCAACCTCAACCACTCTGCACTTCTGCAGTTCTTCCAGTCGTACATAAAACATTCGTCCCAACACTCACCAATCTTTTCACTGTAAAAATGAATTCTTAATTCTTTGAGAATTCACGACCTCCATAGTTTCGTATAACTTAAGAAGAGAAATCCTTTTTTTTATCAGCAGGCCATCAAAATACAGAGAGATGATGATTTACCCAATTGTTTCTTATTGAGACTGAAGTCCACACTAGTGATGGCATCTCTGTGGCCTTTGAAATGCCTCTCTAGGGACGGATCATCCTAGAAAACAATAATGTCCAGACAAGATAGACTAAGAATCATCTTCACGCAATAAAAACATTCCAGCGGTCCACCCAAACGGTCCCCCGGCCCCCAAGCCCTGCTCCCACACACGCAGCCCCCGCCTCCTGACCGCGCTCACACCTAAGCGCCACCCGATCCCTGCCCCGTCACACAGCCCGGCCTCGGCAGCGCTAAGGCCCCACGGATCCAGAGCTGCTCCCGCCCACCACCAAAGCGCTTCCGACCGGGCCTCAGCGGCTCTCCGGACGCCGAACTCCCGCACCGGCAGCGCGTCAGCCCGAGCCCTCACCGCTCCGCCAGCAGCCATGCCGCCCTCCCGCGCGCTGCCGTTTGTTTTCCGCTCCTTCCGGCCCCCGTAGTAACGCAGCTGCGCGCGGTCGCAGGCGCGCGGTGGAGCGCCCTCCGGCGGCAGGGAGGTCCCACTACGCCTCCTCGCGGCTGGGCGGGGCAGCGGGATGGTGGGGCCTAAGGGAGCGCAAAGCGTCTGTAAGTCCCGGCTTGCTCTGAGCCTCCCTGACGCCCCACAGGCTTTGAGCGAATTTTTCCAACCGAAGCGATTCTATGGCTCTCAGCTCCCAGAGTCTGCTGCTCGGGACACAGATCCTCCGTTTCGGTTATGAAAAATCCTTTTCAGCGTCGTCAGGTCTATCTTAGGGTCCAGATACCCCATTCCCAGGCTCCCGAAGCTCTTTCTTTTCCATGGTTTTTACCATGTCTCATTTCCAGATTCCAAACTTCGCTTTCGGGTCTCCAGCCTCTATCTGTGATAGCAAATCCTTTGCTCGGCTGGACCCTCAGCTCTTAGTGACCAAACTCTTGCTGCCAGGACCCCGAGACTCCATGCTGAACCAAAAGCTGTCGTCACTTTGCTTACACTCAGCTCTGATATTGGTTGATAACAGCTCTACAGCCCAGGCTGTCATTCTCAGATCGTAATGTCTAATTTTTAGGCCCCAAGCAGCAAAGCCACCTTTTTAGGGTCCAAAGAGAAAAGACCCATCTTTTAAGTTCCCTAATCCCCATTCCATCAGACAAGGCCTGAAAATTAGGGCTCAGAGCCTCCTTTTATGGTCCAAATACCCATTTTGAGGGATCAAAGCATCATTTTGGTATCCAGCAGCCCCTAAACAGGGGAGTCCAATGCTCCAGCTTTAAATTCTAAAGCCCTATGCTGAAGTGCTGAACCCTCACACTTTTAACATCTGCCTTCCCCACCAGGCTTGGCCTTGAAGTGCAGGCCAACAGCATGCAATAGCTACTAATCAGCAGACTCCACATCATCACCCTTGTGATGGCTATGGGAAGGTTGTGCTCTAGCCTGCCTGCCCCTCCTCCCAAAAAGCAACAGCTCAAGCCTGGGGGCTGCACAAACCAGGTCAGCCATGCTTATCCGCCGTGCAGCACTTACTCTGTGTCCCACCATCTGCCTCCTCTGTGCAGAGATAATCTGGGAGCACACTGCTCTTCCTCACACCACTTTCTCCTTCGCATTCTCTGATTTCACATTTCCCTTGTGCTGATCCATGCCACAAATCAACTTTCCCAAGACATCTGCAGCCAACCCTGATCAGAGGGGGCTGCACCTTTGGCAGCTCCATCTTCCTTCTTGTTTTTACTCCTGGGTTTGTAAGGATCCCATCCATTGCCTTATCCCTGGGGAACCTGGAAAGCGGGAACCAGAGGTCCCTCTACATCCCTGCTCCCATGGCAGCAGGACAAGAGCCCAACTGCAAACACCTGCTCCATGCCTCAGGGCACTGCTGATCCCAGCAGTACCTGTGCACAGGCGCAGATCACAGCTGAAGAACAGGGCCACAGCAGATAAGTCCTACCCCCTTTTAAAAGTAATCTTTTTCTGTACCCAAAATTGTGGGTTTTGTTTGTTTCTGGTAACGTATGTAAGCGATTTTTGTTCATTTTTTTCCTAACACTCTCTGCCTGATCCCAGGTCTGGCTGAACCTCAAGAAGGGCACAGTGCGTATCCAGGCAGGGCCCTTAGGCAGGGGTAGGTGCACTGCTGCAGCCCCAAGCAGCACTGACAACACTCAAGCTGTTGTATCTGTATTACACAGACTTTAATGATCCAGTTCCTGTAGCTATTGGGGTAGTGCTTGGAGGCTACGCGCAATCAGCTGCCGTGGAACCAGGGGCTCCTGCTCTACATTTAAGAGGAATGATGCAGATGGAGTTCTTGGCTTCTTTTACTCTCCACCATCGGCCCAACCTGCAGGTGAAAAGAGTGTCACCTCCATGCCTTCCTGGTCCAGCCAGGCGCTAGTAGGGAGGGTCTAAGCCCTGGAAAATGGGGCCTGGGAATGGTACCGGTGCTCCTGCCCAATGCCAGCCACCAGGAAGTCTCCCGTTGATGAGAACTTCAGGCTGTTGACAAAGCCAATCTGGAGGAAATAGCAGAGGTGTCAGCACCAGTGCACTGCAACTGCCCCAGGCCTGCTCCCACCCTGGGGAGCTTGGCAAGGGCCTCCCCCCAGCTCCAGCACCCCCTATCTGTACCAATGGGATATCACAGAGGGGCTCCAGCTTCTGAAATCCCTCGCCGCACTTCCACAACTTCACACAGCCACTGTGGGAACCTGGAGCAAAGAGGGCACACACCCTAGCACCAGGAAAAGCACAGGACCCCAAACCTGCCAGAAGAGAACACAGCTCTCCCAGCACCAGGCACCTGTAGCCACAAGGTCACTGTTGAGCAAGGCGGCCACTGCAGATACCCAGTACGGCTGCTGCAGGTCCTGGGCAGTGCCCTGCGTCCCGTGCGATTGCCTCACCAGTGCCAGTGGCTTCTTCTTCGCCAGCCCCCACAGGGCCACTGACCTGCAGGGAAGGGGCTGAAGGCGCTGGAGGCACAAGGATTGGTAAGGCTGTGCACAATCCCAGCCCTGCACTCACCCATCATCAGCACCTGACACCATGTGCTCCTCATTGATGAGCTGGATGCAATCGATGGAGCCCCTGCAAGAGCAGACAATTAACAGTAACCATGAGCATATTGTGGAATCCTGTAGGGCGCAGAGCTCCAGGCTTGACAAAATCCCCACAAAAGGCTTGACAGAATCCCCACAGGACTGACAGGCTCCTGGTGATGCTGAGCACATACAGAAACTTTGCTGGAACCGCCAGCAGAAGCACACCCCCTTCCTGCCCCAGACCTACTGATGCCCATAGAAAATGAGCTGTGACTCCTCGGGGATCTTCCAGAAACGCACAGTGCCATCTCGTCCCCCTGAGGTAACACAGCACTCCCGACTCAGGCTGTCCATCCCTGTGATGATGTCCTGGTGCCCAAAGCTGGCAGGGGAGATGAGAAGGAGCTGCAGGGGCCACGACCCCACCGCACCCTCACTCCTCCTCCCTTTGCTTGGGGATACAGTGACAAAACCTCTCTCCACCAGGGTCTTACAGGGTCTCCACATAAGCATTCTCCTCCACATTCCAGACCTTGACGGAGCGGTCATGGGATGCACTGTACAGCTGGTACGTGCCCTTCCGGAAAGACAGGCCCTGTGGAGGGACAGACCAACAGATGAAACAGTGCCCTGCCCAAGTGTCCCCAAGGGCAGTCTCAGAGCTGGGCCTCCACTGCAGGGAGGCCCCACTGGTCCCAGGTACCAAGAGGACATGCATGGACTGCCCACCAGAGGTGGGAGCCTTCCTCCCCATTTCAGCCAACATCCTTACTCACCGACACGGCATCACGATGACCAGTGAACGTATAAAGACGCTTGCAGGTGGCTGCCTCCCAGATCAGAATCAGCTTGTTCCTGTCTCCTGTAGCCTGGCAGAAAGGAGGGGATGCCCAACACCTACCCCAGCAGACCCACAACTCCCACTCCGTGTGTTTTGCTGGGGGGGCATGTCCAAGAACAATTCTGATGATGGCTGAAGTAGGGGCTGCTTCAACCCAGCTTCACCAGGAAGATAAGCTGGGTGTTAGGAGCTGTCCTCCAGAATCCTGGAAAAAGACACCCCTCCCCACCTGGCCTCCTCTTTCAGAGGTTCATGACTATATGGGAACAGCCAAGAGCCATTGGTGACAGCGTGAGGCACCATGGGGCAGCACCAGCACCCAGTCACCGTACCAGGTATTTGCCGTCCGATGAGATGGCAATGCAGAGAACGTGGGCCGTGTGCCCCATGGGCTGCCCCTCTGTGCCTTTCTTGCCCCCAGGCACCACGCAGAGTCTCTTCCCACTCTCCACTTCCCCTGCAGGACAAGCAATACCATCACCCACAGGAGCCTCCCTTGCCCCAGGAAGCACGAATGAGCTGTGAGCTGTGCACAAAGCCCAGAGTGATGCAACCCGCCCTGCCCAGAGGCCAATCATAGAACAGCTTAGAAAAGACCATCTGGTTCCTATTCCCCTGATGTGGGCTGGCTGCCCCCCACCAGATCTGGCTGCCCAGAGCCCCATCCAGCCTGGCTGTGAGCACCTCCAAGAGAGGGGCACTCACAGCTTCTCTGGGCAGCCTGTGCCAGGGCCTCACCATAGTCTGAGAAAAGGATTTCCTCCTCACGTGTAACCCATATTTCTCCTCTTTTAGTGTAAAACCAACGCCATGCCCTATCACCATCCGCCCATGTGAAAAGTCGCTCTCCCTGTTTACAAACTCCCTTTAAATCCTGGGTGGTCACAACAGGGTCTCCCTAAAGTCTTCTCCCGGCTGAACAAGCCTAGCTCTTGTGCACCGCAGCCACTTCCATGCAAGAGATGGGCAGATCCACCTCCACCCACAGCGCCGCTCCTGCCAGGCTCCCATCGCAGTGAGGCCGAGCGCAGCAGGCAAGAGAAGGGAAGCACTTGCATTTGATGACGGAGCCATCCTTAGCAGCCGAAAAGATGAACTTGTCATCCGGAGAGACGACGAGGCAGGTGACAGAATGCTGGTGGCCCCGCAGCACTCGGACGGCGGCAGCGGCCGGAGGGCACACCTAGCGGGACCGGGCCATGAGCGGGACGGCGCCGGCTCGTCCCGGCCACGATCTGGCAGCGGTGCCCTACGGGCCGCACGTATACTCACGTCCTGGGCCGCGGGGCGTCGCAGCCGGCCCTGCTGCTCGAGCTGGGGGAGCACAGCGGGTTAAGGGAGGGCCCCGAGGCCGCCCCACCGCCGCGCCGTCGCCCCCCACTCACCACGGCCTCCTTCAGGCGCTCGCCGACGAGATCCCCGGGGAAACCCGCGGCCTCCTCCTCCTCCTCCTCCGCCCGCTCCTCCTCTGCGATAGGTGCGGGATTCAGGGCCGCCCCGCCGCCGCCGCCCGCCCCGCCGCCGCCGCCGCCCGCGCTCACCGTGCCGCCGCAGCTCCTCCAGGTACAGCTTGGCCAGGCGCAGCTTCTTCTCCTGCGGCGTCTCCTCCAGCTCCTCCTCG